GTAGATGACGCACGTAGAATATGACTTGTTATTGTAAACGTACCCAAAATATCCGGGCAGCCTTTCAAGTGCAACGCACGCATATCTTGGCTATATCAGCTGTCGAAGAAATAGAGTTCAAAAGTAGATCAATTCAACCAAGATTCAACAGAATGACTTTCGTTAAGGTTGGATAAGGAACAGTGACAAGATATCATGCAAGATAACCCATGTTTAGACGAGACTTTCGTAAGAAACAGAACGAGTCAATAGAGATATTGTGAATATGGATAGAACATGGATGGAAAGATGCAGAAGGGAGAAAGGGGGTAGAGAGAAGTGAAAATTAGGGAACAAAATTAACACCGATGACATCGTGTAGTCACAACTTGAGACTAATCATCATAGTCCTGGTACCCACGGTACCTCTGACCCCTCCTCGGACCATGATAGTCTAGAAGCAACCGTCGTTAGTTCATCTCGTTGCCAACTAAATAACAGAGCACGTACAAGAACTAGTATCCCTCTGAGGGCTTATACCAGAAACACCCGCGAGATTAACGTAGGAGCGACCCCAAACGCCCTTCTGCATCGTAGCACCACCAGGAAGTGGAGTGGCAGAAGCGGCTCTGGCCCCCGAGGACCACGGAGAACGGCACCAGACGCAAGTGAGAGCTTTGCCCGTCGCAGCGGAGGTTTTGCTCCCTGAAGAGAGAAAGGAATCAGCAAGAGAAAACACACAAGTAGAGTGAAGGTGAATAGAGAAGTGGCATCCTAGAGATGATGCCGTCAAGCTCACTAATAATACAGCAATGCCTCTTTCCTCTTGTTTTAACAAATGAAAAGAACGAAGTACTCACATTGCTGGAAACACTCTAGATGCAGCGCATTACCACACTCTTCACAGAATGTGAGTTTAGCCTCAGCTACCTGGTACATTGAATCATAGCAGATGGGGCAGTCGTCGTCTTCGCCAGGGATCCGTCTCTTGCCTTGAGAGGCTTCTGGTTCCGCAGGAGCTAGAAGGGTAGGGTGATTAGTAACATTATCGAAGTAAGAGATTGGGCGGCGGAATAAGATTCGGGGTATGAAGGAAAGTAGTGTGAAACATAAAGAGACTTACCATCGCCTTCCTTTTCCTTTCCCATCGCCCGTGCAAACGCAGCGCGGACATGAGGATGCGCAAGTGAGTTGGGTGCTGGTGGAGCATTGGCAAAGATTTCTTCGAGCTCAGAGGTGAGTAGGGCTCTGTGAAACGGAACAATTACATTAGAAACAAAATTCAAGGAAGATACAGTGGGATTGAGTGAGGAACGTACTTCTGATACCATAGTCCAGATCGTTGAGGGACTTGCAAGACTAAAGTGATGTCGAATGAGTATCGTATAGTTGGCGTTTGCGGAAATGGAGAGAGAACGTACCCTTGAGAAAAACAAAGAGAATGTGCTTGCAGTGGTTACCTTTGAGGTGGTCGGGGCAATCGCAGCGGGGCTTGTGGTCGATAACAACTGTGTATGCCTGTAAAAGATGACATATGAATGCAAGTGCACTGGATGAGCAGGAAGTGCTAAGAGGAAGACATAGAAGAACTACACAGTATAACTTCAACCACGAAGTAGCTGCTCAAGCCAGCACACACTATGTTGTCCTTGTATCCTATGTTGAAATGAACTGTTCACCGTAGGAATGAATCTACGAGGAATAACAGCGGGCGTTATGAAACGAAGAGGCCTATGCCATATCGTTCGAAGATCATCCACGATCTCGAACCATGGGAGTGGACAATGCGTCAAGGCATGGTCGCATCACCAGCGCAGAATGTAGAATTTAGAACATTAGCGCTATATGTCAGAGATGTGACAAAGAGCATTCTGGCCATTACTATGCTGCACTGTCGACAGTTGGAGAGGAATGTCTCAAGCACAGTGTGAAAGAAAGCCACTTCGACAGCGGAACGTGCATGCCTTTCTCATATATAAACTCAAATGTCTAATCACGAATCCGACGAGTAAAAGTATCGACATGTAATTCCAGACGAAACGAAATGGAACAGCAAAATGAAGGAAGAAAAAGAATAAACCAACGGACTCACGTTTCCAGTCGATCCGAGAATCTTGAATTCTTCCTTGAGTTCACCATCCACACGTTCGCGCGTGAGCATGAAGATTCTGAGAAGGCGGGTGTGTTAGTAATGCATAGGAGTGAGAACGAACTCTAAAGAAGAAATGACACAGGAGTTGTCACATTGAGCGAAACGCAGACACCACGAGCTGGCGAAACTCGGAGTTGATGAGGTAGTGAAACCGGCAACTGGCAGGCACTTCAAGAAGCTCATGATACTAATACAGCCGCAGTACAGAAGCAAAATTAACGAAGAACGTAGATTTGACTCACCTCTGGCTCATAACACGTTCCACCCTATCCAAGATATTCTGCGGGCACTTAGGCTTGAACTGCGCGAGGCGCTTCTCCGGCTGTCCGGCAGGTGCAGGCGACTCAGCAGCTGCTTTCTTCTTACCCGGCTTCTTTGCGGGCTGAGTCGAAGTGCGTGCTAAAGTAGAAGCAGATTGTGCAGTGGTGCTGTAGCTCGCGCTGAGTGGGGTCATCGAGGCTGCGCCAATCCTAGTTCCACCCATCCCGCTTATATCCCTTCCAACCATACTTGTCTCAGCCGTCGAAGGGAGTGTTGAAGGTCTAGTCAGATCCGCATCTGCCTGCACCTGCTTCCCCTTCCCCTTCGCCTTACTGGCAGCACCCGCCGTAGTAGCAGCAGACTTCCTTTGGGCACGCTTCCCCTTGGGCTTCTCCAGGATGTCTGTAACAGTCGTTGGGGCCTGCACGGGTTTTTTTGGTGCCACCCCTGTACTAGAACGCGTACGTGTGCGTTTGGTGGGGGGTTCTTGGGATGTTGGTGCTGTGGCGGTAGAAGTTGAAGTTGAAGCTGAAGGATACGATGGTATGGTGGTGCTATCAGAATTGGCCATGGCCGTAGAGGTATAACTTGATTGGCTCGAGCTCACCCACCCTGTGTGCATCAGGGCCGGTGCTGGAGTTGGAGCCTGAGGTGCAGTCTGCCCAGCGGGTGTCCACTGCACGAACTCGCCGTCACGTTGGCGTTTGAGCACCATTGTTTGTTTATAGAGGTTGCTGTATGATTTGAGTAGAAGAGTAAGGATTCAATAGATGTTATAAATGCTTATGAAGAAGTTATATTGGAGGAAGAATGAGATAGAGGAAGCAATGATAGAGACAAGCAAGACACGAAAAAGCGGCTATTTGTGTCGCGGAGCGTGGCACGTGATCTCAAATATCAATCAAGTCTTGACGCCTACTCGACGCCCAGGCCCACAAACTAGGGCTGTACGCCGTCGCCGTATTTACGGTTTTACGGGACCCGTAATACGGTCACCGTAGCCGTACCGTTGACCATTTCAGCAAGATTTCGACGGTACGGCTACGGTACGGTTTGGCACCGTACTTGGCCGTAATTTTACGGCCATAACGGCATCATACGGCAGTACGGCGTCTCGTCCTCTTACCATTCATTGAGTCCTTCATCAACGTGTCCAAAGTGATATGAAGCGCGTTATTTTCTACTTCCCATTGTTATATGTGATAATAAAACTTTCCCTGAACTATTACAGTACTCAAAGGTCCCGTCATTAATGATGCCATTGAAAGAAAATCACAGAAAATCATTCTCTTCGCTCTCCTATGGGACAGGGGCCTCAAAATTTGGAGTATTTCCCCTTGTGTTTACCACTAGTGACTAGTCTGCATACCAATGCCACTCTGCTTTGCATGCTTTAGGTGCGTTGTACATTGATCAATCTTTTAAGCCTGAATTATTGGAGCAGACCTCATCGAGGTGGATCTAACTGTGGGGAAGGAAGTGCTTCAAGCTGCGAAAATTGGCTATAAAAGTTTCTCAAAAAGTTTGGATTGTAAGCTATCACTTTTCACCACTTTCTTTCTACCATGTTGACTCGGTGTGTACAAGATGACTTCAGAAACCTCAACAATGTCAACGATATTGAGTTCTTCCGCTCAGAGAGTGACAAGACATCAATTTTTAAGTCGTTAATGACAGGTATATATTATTTTTATTGATTTAACCATCCCATCTTACAAATGATAATACAGACTTAGGTCATGGCAAGAGGATTTTCAAAGCTGATAAGCTCTCTGCATTACTCGTCTCTAAACAGCTCAAAGAAAATAGGGTACCGACCAAATATTTCAGTTGTCAAACACGTACGACCACTGCAAGAAACCAAAAATACAGAGTCTGCTGACAACTGGGATGCTGAATATCTGTCTGCGCCACCCAATACAGACTCTTCAGACCCCAAAGATGATGTTATCCCCTTCAATTGCGAAGTAAGTGTGTTCTCAATGGACTACTAAATATGTTTAAGAAAAATCATCTCTACACCTGCCGTACAACCGTAAAATGCCGTTTTGACCGTAAATTCATCCGTACCGTGCCGTTGGGCAGTTGAAATCAGCGTTACGGCTACGGTATACGGCACTTCCGTAGCCGTCCAGGAGCCGTACTTATACGGCCGTATGCCGTATTCGGTACGGCGTACAGCCCTACCACAAACACACCCACAACTGATCAATGCGTCCTCTCGTGCCCGTCGTCGCCCTGAACCACGCGAAGCTTCCGTGGACATCAACCATTTTACTGAAAAGAAGGTGGGAGATTTCGGTACCGTCATCTGAAACTCTTGCTAGGTATGGATTTGGCAATCGAAGAGCCAGAAGAAATGGCATGCAAATCCCGGAGTCCCAACACACTAAAGCATCGCTGAAAGTATAAGCATGCGCAATAAGCGAAATTCGAACAGTAGAATTGATACCTGGCTGATATTGACTTTACCTTTGATTTGTAAGACTTAGTTACTATTCAATGAGCGCTGAGCACCAAAAAATCTACAAAAGATTGGGGCGACGAGGATTTAATGTTTTAAACGCGTTCGTGAGCTTGTGTTGGTGAAAATTTAATAAAATATATATTCCTTCTAGCCGACTTGAACGACTGACCTCGTCATTGAGTTTCTAGAATCTTCCTATACTAGTGACGCGCTCTACCAACTGAGCTAAGAAGGAAGTGCTGTTATTGCACAATATAAACATTTGATTCTTATAGACCAACGAGCCATTTGCATTATGACCATGAATAACACCTCTGAGTCCGTCTCCGCCCTGCTAATGCTATGTGTGTCTGTTCATGTCAAGTCCGGAATTGCCTTGTAAATGGATAAACCGACAGTGTTAAAAGCTAGCGGGACTACGTTTAAAAGAAATCACATCTTATTGTCGTTACTTCTAACTGATTTAAAAGACATAACATCGTGGTTATATGTGCATCCAGTGATACACTCTACCAACTGAGTTAGCTTTGTGTATAATACAAATTTACAATCGAAAATAAACCGACAACATACTGCCATTGAATGTCCGAGGTCAAACGTTGTCATCGCTTATTTTAACATAATCATTAATAGATTCATTGTTGTGATTCCCTGACATTACAATTATTCATACTCGGAAGAATTGCGTTACCAGATCTTTGCATTTGAGCGGCATCCGTACTAAACAGTAAGCAGAGTAGCTTTGATTTGGAATTCCAATGCCTTTGCAGTGACACGTTGACGCATCGAACACTGTGCTTTCATGGCTAATATGTGGGTAGTTGCCTTTCTATGCAAGAATATCAGCAATCGCCTATAAATTCGACTCATGCAGCAGCCTTAATGCATAAACATGATGCTGTAGCTCAATAAATTCCTATAATTACGCATTGCTGCGCAGTAAGTGTAGAAACAGAGAACTTTTCTTCCATGGATGAGCCGAGGAGATATCAATGCTAGAGGAAAGAGATGAATACCTGAATGCGTACACAAAAATCAACATTGGGATGTTACAGAGTGAACAATATTTGTGGACAACTTATAATGTTATGGTTGGGAAACAGATCACAGGTTAGATCCTAGACGCATTGGGAGGGTGGGACACGAGGCGAGTGCATTGGTCCCTCGAATTGTGAAATCCCACTCACTTACTCAAACATCCCACTCAAGTAATTTTTATCTGGCACTAGGTAACTTCATACTCCCACTATTTTATTATATAATCCATCTGTACTACATACGGCGCAAAAAAGAAATAAACAAACCTTGCTCCAGGTCTCTCAGTGAATCCCTCTGGTCACAGGGATGAATAACAGTATAATAAAAAGGACTTCTGATGGTGCATTCCTCCCAGCTAATTTAAGCGACAGAACTAATCATAATGAATATCATCTGATCAATAAAAATCATACGTAATGTACCCTAACAACCCATCCAAGAAGAATCCATACCGCGCATTATTGAATCTGGCTGAAAGGCATGCGATAAAATCTATAACAAGATTCAAAACATGTGGCATGAAGTGAGCGGACTGTAATAGAGTTGAGATTACCTCGCCGATTTTTTCACTAGCACGATAATGTTATTGTAGATAGCAGGGGAAGCGAATGTACCATGTGGTAGAAAGTGATGCACATGGAGGAAAAGTAGATGCCGGTAATGAGACCCTTAGTCCATGTGTAAAGTCGATGACGCAAAATAGAGCAAAGTGACATCGAATCAATCAAAAGAAAAGTGAATAGAGGTCGTTAGTTGAACTTAGGGCACAAGGAAAGATATTTATCAATACCCTCTACAAAGGTAAAATTCTATATAGTTCGATTAAAACTACCTTTGAAACATATAGGCCGGTGATTGGGGCGCCAGTGTACTTTTTCTGGAGTTTGTTCCACCAATTTGGGTCTAGCTTTAGGTCGCATGTGTAGCACTTTCGTTAATTAGTATATCAATATCATGGTGTTCCTGTAGAACCGATAGGTACTTACCCCGTCGGTGTTCAATCTATCTCCCCAATGACTCTCAACTGCCAAATGAAATTGCTTACCAGAAGGTTCTGAAAGTAAGCAGTATGTCTGAGTCGAATAATAATCCTACCTAAGTAGGGCACCTTATTACCACGCAGAACTATGCTATGACGCGGATCTAAGTATTCGCATTTCTCATAGTTCTCGGACACTCGTATTCCCGATATTTCGACCGATTTTTCCACAGTTGGAAGTCCAATCATTGTGCAAATTTAGGAGACTCTTAAAAGTTAAGCTGGAGATTCAATATTCAAACCCGAGCTTGGATCCACTTCAAGATCTCTCTTATGGAAAGCCGGACAACCACGCTCGGTTATCAACCATCGGCATCAATGCCGCCAGGCGTAGTTGAATTTCGCAACTCATGGACCCCGGAAATATATCCTATTGCCGTATCTAATACCATATACTAACAATAGTAGATATTCATGCTGTATTTCAAATGTAAATCAGCCGTTAATGATGATGGAAATGAAGTTGAGAATTGTATATATTAATTATATAACGGTTAATTATTATCAAACAACCTAAAGCTGGATTCAGGTTGTTTTATCAGTGCTCTAGCCAATCCAACTTATCAATACAGATGTAAAATATTGATCCTCAAATCTATTTTCAAGGTATCTACTGAGTGTTGGAAATACAAATCGTCCCTCGCGCTTCACCCGCCCCTTGAGCACGCTCGGTATTCCTAATATTGACCAACTTATTATGTAGACAAAGATTGCAACGTATTTATTACTCAGGCTTCGTTACCTAGAAACATATGATTAGCACGTTAGTATCTACTTACAGTAGATACACCTTTTATTATTTATACCAGTATATAAGACTCTTAGATAGCGTAGATACACCTCCATCAATTCTATTCTGACTGAAGTGAGTTATAACATACATACTTATTTCATTTCTCTCTTACTGATTATCTTCATAGCTTTACCTTATTTTATTCCATTACTCAGTTGGAGTTATATTTATTATTTTGTGAGTCAGGGTGCATTGAAAGGTCCAGTTGAATAATGCTACCAATAATTTGGGCAATTAAAATGAATCCGGCTTCAGGAGAGGTAGTTCCAACCACTCACAATACTTGTTGCAAATGTGCTGTGAAGGAAATCCTCCAAAAGCTTTGGCAAAATTTCCACCTCCCAAGAGTTCCTCTCCATGCTCAATCTCAAGCGATCTATGCAGACAATTTAGTGTTAGATGCATTCATTGAGAGCGGACAAAAATAAAGTTCTACCACATTGTGTACCGAATGACATATTTGAGTCGCCAGGAAAATACGGCGCCCTCGATTTCAAGGTGAGAAAATATCTTTTCACATTAAGCCAACGTTGGGGTCTACTTTTACAAATTTTGGTTGATAAATAAGCTGTGGCTGAAGCTCATGCTTTGTACGTTCCCCGATATTTGCGACCCTCGCTTCACATTTTTACACCCAAATTGGTGAACCTACAATTACAAGAAATAACGTTTGGACTATCTACCTTGATATTCAGGAGGGTTTTCTTTGTTTTGAAGCAATCTTTCCAGCTGTCCGAACACAGTGGATGAATTTGATAACATGAGCAAGGCAAGATGAAGTAAAGATAGGATTGAACTCACCTAGAATTTGGAGGAGCTCCCAAATGGAATGGATAAAGTTTGAGAAGATGGATCTTATTGCATGGGCAGAGTAAATAACGGCCGCAGATTAGGTATGTGTAGTGTAACATACCAATTGTTTCTCGTTATACTTCTGGTACTCACATGTCTTTAAATAGATGAAATCGTATCCGCAAGACTTGTTGAAATGATGGATACCATTGAACCCGATTTTACGAATGAAGATGATAGTGCGGATGTAGTTAGCCCCAAGCTTGTTGTAGAATTCTCCTCTGATGAAGAGGATGGCAATCAAGATCAGTGGTAGGATAAACAGGCTCACCATTCATAGATTAAGGAGATATTTACGAACTTAGTTGATGTGTTATAGTATATTTGCATGTAATATGAGAGAATCTGGAAGTATGAGTGGTGTAATAGTACAGTAGGAGTGCAGATGGCCTCATGAAAGAGCATTGATTCTATGACGCATGCTCAGACTGTAAGGTACAGACCTTCACAGATTGGTTTACTATCCAATTCATAATATCTAATACCAACTATTATTCAGTTCTGGTGCATACCATCTATATATATAGGAAAAATAAAAGTGTAAGAAGGAGTAATCGACCTATATAAATGATTCTGTTCAGTCGAGGGCAAGTTGGGCTAGCATGACACACGTGCAAAGTAACGCTTACCTCTTATTAGCTCCTCTTAACTAATCTTCGAAACCCTGCCCAAAGGCGGTAATTCTTATGTTGTGGTTGGCTACCTACCCTCTAAAAAATGCTTCAAATGCACTCCGTGAGCCTTGCTGATTAATAGTTATAATGCATGAATAGACAGATTTTGAGTTAACAAAGCTGGAGTAAGGTTACTGTTAATAGATTGGAATTACGGAACTAACATTGACTGATTCTAACTTTTAACATTAGTTTGATCATTGTTCACGCTGGTTCACATTCAGGAAATACAATATTGATATTTGCTTTTCCTGATCACAGTAGAGCGATAAGGATATGCTTCCAGGGTCCATGAGTTGCAAAATTCAACTCCGCCTGGCGGCATTGACGCCGACTGTTGATAACCGAGCGTGGTTGTCCGGCTTTCCATACTCTCTGACCTTTCTTAACCTTTTTCCATAGCAAAAGTTTTTAATAGTTGATTCATGACTAAATACGTTTATTTCACAATGAAGTTTCCGGGGCCTGTCCAGATGCGTTGAATATCCGTTAGAGTGGAGTGAAAGTGTAGGTTAACCCGTTTAGCACAATTAATTCAAATTATACGTTCTTTAATTACTGTCCTGCTGTTTGCATAATCACATTAATTCAGTCACAACAGCAGGAATATACTTCCCCCGTCAGAATCAATTTTGGCTTTTTTGAAGCTCTAAGCGGTAAGGACAACGTTAAAATATACCTTTGCCGCAGCCAGTATGGAGAAGCACGGGTGAGAAGTCGGCTGTATTTTATCAATAATAGCCACGGTATTCGGTAAAAAATCACAAGAACTGAGTATGAGAAAAGAGAGCTATAGCTTGTCATCCATGGAGAAGTTGACAAAGCGTACAGCATAAAGC